AATATCTATCGTTCAAGTAAACTCTATGAACATGGCTCAGTTTTTTCTTACACGGGGTCTAGTCCGACAATTGTGTCTAAAATCTGGAAGTGATCACGCCCGTTTCCAATTCTAATCTCCGGCATTGTTTCCAGATAAACTGATGCCTCAGGTATGAGCTCTCAATCCCGAGTTTTACCGATTTTGGGCAATCGATTTTAGAAATGGTTGACGGACCGATGGACTAAGCTTATTCAAAATTTCACCGTAATTACGCTATACGAGTTCGTGAAACCTTTAGTTCGCATTTCTATAGCTATGTTCTTTTTCTATGTTCTCTGGCTAAGCGTAACGAAAATTCTCTGGTTGTGCACGATAAGTTGATTATGTGCCTTTTTTGTTTTTAGTTTAGATAAGTAACAATGGTTACTAATGCAGAAAGAAACTGAACTGAAAGCGCGTTTCTTGGCTTGATTTATACAACTATTAGTATATTTAGTACAGGGTTGCTCTTCGGAGAATTAAAAAGGGATTGCATTAGATAACCTTAAAACCTGTTTTACATCATCAACGTAATACTGCGAGTAGCCGCGCGCATTCATTCATTACTTGTCTGAAGCCATTGTTCAAATTTACGATCAGATCCAGAGACATTTCTACATAAATCAATTGGCAGTAGTGGCAGGATGTGTGCATAAGCAGCTGGGGCGAGTTAAGGACGCATATTTAATGCGGGAACAGATTGACTTCATTGTAAGGTGCGTGCAGTGCAGCGCAGTCCCCAAAATGCGCAAATTCGTTTTTGATTTCTTAGTTCAGTCACTATGGCTGCTTCTGGAGGGAGGAGAAGCTTTGCTTGAACGCCATTGCTTCATATTGCCGTGCTAATCCTTAACTACGTAAGTTACCTCAAGATTCTCTTCGAATTAGCTTTTTGTACTTTTCTAAACATTTTTGCCTAAAGATAAAAGCAGCGCTTAATGCTTTCCATTTGCTAACCTGATTCATTGACATCTTTAACAGGCTTAACTGTCTGGAAGTACTGCAAGTTTACTACATTGATAACAAGTGGAAATAAATTTACCGAAGTGACCTTGTAACAATGCTCAGAATGGGTTCCATTGCAAATAGAGCAAGAGTAAGTTTGACAAAAATAATAAAATGAACTTTGCATTGGATCCAGTAAGAAGAAACTCCATTCTGTTTATCGTGCGGCTTTGCGATGGTCCATTAATCGCCCATTAAGCGCCCAACTGCTGCAATTTCTACATCTTTTGCCTTCGTCTTCGATGGCCAGTCGACCGTTTAACGCTCTTGCAATCCTCCAATCTAATAACAGACTTCGATGCTTCTTTATCATGCTTATGTTGGCTTAATTTTCGCACTGGGAATCTCCGTATGAATCTCTCCGAATGAACAAAACTTAGTAATATAATTGCATTTCTAAAAGTACTTATTATTATAGATAAAGTTACTTTCTAGTATAAGAATAGCCAGTGGAGTTTTAAAATTAATTTAGATTAAACTACTTCATAATTAATTGCTTGGCAATTGTTAAAAAATTAAAGCCTCAGCCACTCCATAAATAATGCAATTAATGAAAACATGAGAAGTTGTGTACGAATTGCGTACTAACTTGCGACTAACTGATATATGGTATTTGGCTCTAAGAATTCGTTATATATATGGTGTTATATCGTAGTCGTATATCGTATAGTATGTATCTCATACCTTTTGTTTACGTAAAATTATGTCTTTGCAAAGGTTGAAAGGAACAAAGTCATTGTTCCGATTACAAAAGCTCTTTAAGGTCTCTTAGACACGGAAGGCGGGACCGTTCTTTCGATGTGTCTAATTTTCGAACTTGACGTCAAAAAATACTGTTTAACGAGAAATTTGAGATCCAACTCGAACAGTTATTGTTGGGTTCCAATTTAGAAAAATGAGAACGAGAACGAGACCGGATATACCGCGCGATTTAATTGTTTTTTTAGTCTTAGCTTGACGAGATTGAGAAAGAAAGTTTGAAAATAATCTTTTGTTATCACTATACAACAACATGAAGCGAAGTTTTTTGCAAACACCCGGTGTACCGAGAAAGCACGTGTTTCAGCAGTTCACTTATAAGCCGGAAGGAAATTTTGAATATCTTTAATTTTTATTAATCGACCGAATCCTTAAAATAGTCCACACCGCGCTGGTTAGTAATTTCAGTTGTTTGCTCTCTACAAGTCAAATTTGATTCCAAGTTCTTATTAACTAGTATAGAATGGACGGAAACTTTGTCGACCTGAACACGAACATGGCAGCGTTTGCCCGCAAAACTTGAGGTACTTCGTAAGTGCTCATCATAACTTCGGCCAATATGGGCCCGCAGTTATTTAAAGGAGCCTATGTGAATATATTTCCTACTCTTAAGTATAAAACGATGAGCTGGGGAAATTTTAGATAGTTAAGATGGAACGTGGCCTTACTCACTCAAGATATTTTCATTGTTCCAGCTCATTGTATCGTGCTCGATGGCGATCCGATTAAAGTTTGAGGCGCAGCAGAGAGGAACATGCTCTGCACGTGTTGATGTAGAAGGTAGGCGTGAGAAAGCACGTTGAGTGTTGGCTATGATCATAAGGGACATAACTATAACTACTGTTATAACTGGAGGTGCTCCCAATAAAAGCCACTTATCAACCCAGTCGAACTAACACAAAACAAGTTGTAATAAAATCTAAATAGTGTACATTTAAACACTTTAGTTACAATGGTTCGGTTGAAGTTCGAATTACTACTTCATCCAACGTATCCGCGAGATCTGGCCGCAGTATCCAAAACCTGTTTGCTGCAAATCTCAAAAGGTTGTTCCAGGGAAAAGGATTAAGATTCGACCCTGATGAATGAGCTCACTGCTGAAACTAAAGTTAAGGGTCTTGCAAAATCATTCTAGCAAAAGGCCTTAAAGTGTCAGAGAGGCTTTCGTTCTTAAGTCATCAAATCTAGGCCTTTTATGGCAATTCGTTTGGACATTTGTTTGAAAGACAAGAAAGTTTCCAGAGTGTACATCTGAAAGAATATATATATACGGAAAGAATAGCGTGACCATTATCTCATCCATTTCTTACTTAACTTTTTGTATGTTAGGCGTGAGTAATTGTCGATTGCCTTTGTATGGAATACCGCAACTCATGTAATAAATTGAATATAAACGATTATGATAACATTCGCTTAGATATAATTATTGTTCTTTCCTAATTGTCTAATGCACTCGCCAGTGAAGTAGAGTATAGTGCTTTCGTCACTCCGTTTGTGCGAGTAGAGCCCGGCAGTACCTGTCTGAAAAAAAATTTAGAAAATGCGTATGCACACACTAACACACCCCCGCACAAATTATTGCCTCTTATAAATCAGTAAGTATTTTAGTTTAATCTCGACATGTTCACCCTGTGAACTGTCACGGCTGTTAGACGTTGCCAGACATTTGCCAAAAAAATTGATGTATGTGTTTTTAGTTAAGTTGGGGATTATCCGCAATGGTCCCCGATACTTTGTCAAAGAAAAATAGAAACAAAACACATTTCTGCTATTGTTAATAAATCGGAGAAGGGGGAGGGTATAGAGATTAATTGAAAATTTGCTTTAAGGAGATCACTTAATGAGGAATTATTGCAACAATAATAATTTTATTATTATTATTATTAAGTGTGTACCGCCCCCTACCTACCTGAAGTGACGCATAGACCAATGAGAAAATTATAATCTTTTCTGACGGTGAGGATTAATTGTATACGGTGAGGGTTAGCTTTAGTGAAAACAATTATAGGTCGTCTCTCAAGAAAGCTCTCTTACTTTTACACAAGGCATTGCACGAACGTCAAGTACACTTGCGTTGACATGTTGCTTGTAACATTCAGGAATCTTGTACTCGATTGTCAAATTGATTTTGCTTTTTCCATCGGCCTATCGGAATGTGTTTGAAATTCCTGAAGTTAGAAAGATTGGAACTTTTCAATTCAAACTTGAGAAAGGTAAAGACTCTCTTACTTGAGAGGCGGTAGCCCTGTTTAAAACACTGGCCTAACCCGTTTAAATTCTGCCGATACACTCGTTCTCTGAAGAAAGTATTCAATAAAATTAAATAAATATTTTGTCTGAAGTACGCATCGACCGCAATTAAATCGAAATCAAAGACGAGTACAAACAAGACATGTGTGACTAATAAAAGCTTGCTTTAATATGTCGGATACTTTCCTAATTATTGCGTTTTTATCGAGAATTCAAAATTCGTTCACACCTTCGATGCATTTCCGAATTTTTCGGCCACCCATCTAGGGTAATAGGAAAATGTATTTAAAAAAAAAGGTTGTAATAAAATTTCTTCGTAACAACGTATGGTCTGTGTGTTATCATCAATCGAACAAAGAGAGAGAGAGAGAGAAAGAGAGAGAGCAAGAATGCAAAAAGAAAAAAAAAAAATAGAATACAAATAAATAAATAAATAATGCGAATATAAATCAAACTTAAATATAATAATAAAATTAAAAATGTAAATATTTGCAACGTTTTTTCTATTTTGCACTCGCTGAAGCTTAAGCCTTCCATCAAATTGCGATTGAAAGAGCAACAAATTGCAACGACGAGTAGTCTCTTCGGAACCTTTATGACTGAAAGACGTTTATTATTTTAATAAGAATTCAAAACAAAAAAAAGAAAATAAAAAAACGAAAAAAAAATTTTAAAAAATTACATAAAAAGATAAAGAAAACTTTACAATTGTAAATACATAAATAATGAAAACCTACATATACAAAGTAGGTTAATAATAATAATAATAATAACAATAAGCCTTCTTTCCTATAATTTAATGAAATTATAATAAAAATAAAGAAAACAAAAAAATTAAAAAAAAAAAAATCACAAATCTTTTTAATTAAAATTTAAAAAGCTCAAGTTTTTTTACTTTCTTTGCTTTCATTATTCCGTTCATTCACATTTTCATTTTCTTCTTTTCTTCCGATTGCATTTTATAGGAAAGCGAAATTGTTGAAGTCTTATGGAAACAGGATGTCGATTTGGGTTACAGTCTCACCTCGGAGCAGTCGTCAGTCAATGTGCCTTCTTCAACGTCAGCAAAAGCGGCCAACAGCGATGATATTGAAAAACTGAAAGCTTTGGAAGAGCTAAAGTTAGATGGCGTAAGTATTCTCTCAAGCAAGGAAGTGAAGAAAGAAAACACAAAAAAAATGTTAATTATTGACAATCCTGATCTAGGTACGGTCCCGTCCGTACATCTGAACAAAAGTAAAAAAGAGAAAGAGCGAGACCTTTAGAGAAGAGCTAAAGTTAGATGATATAAGTATTCTGTTAAGTAAGAAAAAAATTGTTATTGATTGGCAATCGTCCGTCCGTACATCTGCAGAAAATTAAAAGAAGAGAAAAAGAAACGCGAATCAAGGCAATTTGAGACCTTTAACCCAACAGAAGCTCTTGGATCAGATGTTTTGCAGCAAGACTTCTGCTGTGTGCCGCATTTCTTTGCTTACGCTAGTGCTTCAAGTTCAAACTCTTTCATCATGTTCAATTTTTCTTGCTCTCTTCGCACCTTTTCCTAGACTAAATATGATACGAAAAACCCCATCAATGAAAACGATCAACTGGATGATGATTGGGCTGGCATACCATTCACCATTGACAACGAGACCGGTAAGTATTGTCAAGTATTTTTTGATGAAAATCATTCATTCATTAAAGTGCGCAAATTTTCCCTGCAGTTGTGCTTTAAGAGCTTTGCAAATTTCTTCGAATTTTCTTATCACATTTTTCCGTAAATACATTTTTTTTCTCGTAGTAACATTTGCATGGGGTTTTTATCTAATCAAACAGCACAGCACTCCTGTCTAGTGAATATGAGAATGGAATAACTTATTATTTCGCAATTATAACGACGCTCTTTACTAAAAGCGTATTATTTGTACAAACAACTTCTCCTTTATACTTCAGAGCGTTGAGATACGTGACACCTGATGCATCGATTCTTATATTTGAGTTTCGTTGTACAATTTACTTTCTCAGCCTTACAATAAAACGCATTCACATTTTGACTATGAAAACCTCTCTCTAACCTAATTCGAAGAGTTTTATTCGGAACGACTGACTGTCTTTTTTTAAAAACAGCGCCGGTAGTCTGAGTAGCTAGCGCTCACCTTACTTTCCAAGAATCCAAGAATCTCTTTCTCTTAATACCAATTAAAGACCTATGATAAGAATAATAACAAGGAAAACAAGAAGAAAATTATATTCGGTTGTGGAGCAATTTCTTTTACCCATCGTTCTTATCCTACTTTTCAAGGATAATTTTGTGGAAACATGTTTCGTGCATTTATTGAATTTTATGAGCAAAGTGCGAAGAAAAGCAAAAGTGTTAATTGCTTTTGTTAAAATAGGCCTGTGGGCATTGTAGGCGTGCTCTTTGAAAACTTGGGGCCATTTTCAAATTCTTTTGCAAGCTTATAGGCGATATCTTCATTTTTGGACAATGTTTACCACAAATACTACACAATTGCGCAAGCGGACAGAGTGGCAGATAAACGGACGAACATGCGGGCTTTTCAAGCTTGCTTTTACGCGTTATAAAGGTATTGGAAATAGAATAAAATTATGACACCTTATAGCATTGTATAGGCGAGGTCAATAATTACCATTTTCGTAAAGGTACAGAGTATACGTATAGCCCACGTATTCCATACAATATACGTTTAAATATTTTACATTTATCTCTTATACTTTAGGGAGCAATGGGTAAAAAATTAATTTCTTACTGAAGTGTTCTCAGTTTACGTGGTACTACAGGCGTGTGCTGCGAACGATTTGGTCCGTTTTCAATACCACCCTGACTTGAAGAACTTCCAATGTTTCGGCCAAATTTCAAGTCGTTAATTTTATTTTTGCGGCCAGGAGACACTACACAGATGGACAGATCGACATGCTTAAATATATACTTTATGGATCTTCCTTTCGGACGATGGAAACATTTTAACGAAATGAATGAATGCCCCTCGCCCTTCGGCGATGGATATAAAAGACAAACAAGACGTGCAGTGGTGTTTGGATCTTAATTGACTAATTTCTGAATTGCACCTGACAAAATGGTGTAACTCGAAAATATTTTAACAGAGTAGCAGTCCTTCTAACCAACAGCTTAACGTTATTTACTTTTTAACACACTACTCTAGAGCCTTATGGCTTTGAATTTTTACAATTAATTCTTTTTTTTCTCTTAATTCCCTAGAGGATAAAAATGAAACCGTCGGCTTTTTGTGTTTTATTGCTAAAAGAATAGAAATGAAAGTCATTTTCGGGTCTGCATGTTTTTTATTTTATACTCGCTATGTATGTATTGGGTGCTTGTGTGTGATGAGAAAAGAGATAGATAGATTTCGTCAAGTCGTTCTAGTATCGATTAATCTTTATAATGGAAACAACGTGCAATCCATAAATCTCATTTACACCTTTCCCTCATTTAGTCTATTGTTTCTTTGAAATCAAAAGAAAATTGAAAAGTGGTTACGTTTCATAAACATTAACTTCGATGTCAAATGCTTCTTATGTTGCGCATAAAGTTGTCAAAATTGTGCTGAAAAGTTGCTAGTTCTCCTTTCCATCTCTTCCAATTGAGTTAATGTAGAACACTTAGCAATTTAAGAATATTTTCAATATATCTTGTTATTATCTCTTTCGAGCTATCTGCTCTTCTCGCAAGAAGAAGAAGTTTAGCGAATTTATCGCCTTGACTCCCATAAAGTTCGAAGTTTGATATCATTTATGTTTTTGAAATTAACTTAAAACTTGAAATAGACGGCGAGCAACCAATGGCGAACAACTTTCACAATTCTTTCAAGTTATGTAAGGAGTTGCACTTTATTTTTGAATAATGTCAGCCAGAACTTTGATTTCTGTTGAACAGTGGATGCTTTAATGTATTCTCCATAAACACGTGCCCTATTAAGGCCTTATGCCACCAAAATACGAATATCTGTGCGTGTATGCCTGCATCCGAGATCGACTGTTCGAGTCGAATTAGTTTACAAGTGGTTTTTGGTTTTTGCAATATTGCTTAGTTTATCTGTACTCATGCTCTCCGTACAACTCCCCGAAAAATATCGACGTATCTTCTCTCGAGACAAAAAACTCTATCCATTATATGCTATGGTACACTCTGCCACGGTTTAATGGAAATTTCCGAAACGAGGTTGGGGGAGAAAGGAACGAATGCCTTTTTTCATTTGACGATATCATTGTGGAAGAATCGGTAGGTAGTGCCTTTTCTCCTAGACAGGAAAAGCAAAAAAACTAAAGTCGACTTGCTTGGAAGAAGTTATCATGGTTTTAGGTTTTCCATGGATGGTGGTGCATCCACTTCTCGCCCCGTCCGCTATTCGTTCCGTATGTAATTCTTACATATTGCTAAGATTAGGATATAATTCGGATTGGAGCTTCCCAGCCCTGCATACGTGCCAGCGACAAGCTCAGATAAATCAAGGCGTATCTAATACTCTCGACGCTTTCAGTGCATAGTGATAAGTAGACCTGTCTGTTACTTGTGGCTATTTTAGCGTTCTCACAGCGCTGTAGAAATAATTCTTTTTTTAATTGCACTATGGGCCATTGTGTGGAAAAATTCACACACCTGCAGACTTTTTTCCTCGACGCAAAAAAAAAAAATTTTTCTCCGCTTTCTCCTCCCCTGTCGGCAGTCGTTCTTAGCTGTCGCCATGTCAAACTTCTTTGGGCGGTCGTTTTAAATAACATCTCTCCTGGAAAATCCTTTCAGGGTTAAGGTTTACGTGTAACTTGCCTAATTGGGAATTTTGTTCGCCAATTTTGGACTTTCCCGCGGAAACCCTTTGACCAACTGATTCTGCTGCTATTAGAGTTCTTATTAACTATGGTTTAATTTTCGCCAATAATTTTCACGTGTTTCTTGGAAAAGAGTAGAGGTCGCTAATAATCGAATTGCTCGTCCTTCTTCTTTTTTTTTTAGGACGGAATTAATTTCCTCGCTTCTGCCATGCCATGTTTATTGACAATTGATCAAGCTCGACTACTGCAGACGCTTCGATTTATATTTCATGACGAAGTAAAAGGCCTCGTTTTTGCGAATAACTTACTGTCGTCAATGGAAGCTTTTCCATATGACAGGACATTAATTTTAATGTTTCATCTCAAATGTTTTCCGTAATTTACAACCCACTAACTGCAAAACAACGCGAGCACTCAGTTGGAACATTTTTAATCCATTTCCGTGGTTTCAGTAAAACATTTGATTTGATTGTCGGATCCATTGAAGCTGCTTTGTACCAAAAATTTTAACTTCTCAATAATGGAATGCTAAACTTGTCCAGGATTACCTTTGACTTTTTCTTCAAACTCATTTAAAATGCTTATCCTTAAGCCGTGAAAGAAAGCGCATACGTAGAAAAATGGCTCACTTTCTAATGTACATATTTACTTTGTATATAATATGAGAAAATATTTACTTATGTGTGTGATACAAATGTCGTAGAAAATAGAATTGAAAAAGTGATATTGGAAAAACCATCCCTCTGTCATCCCTTCCCACATGATTCTTTGCGAATGGTGGTTGTAACTCGCAACTCAAAAGTAATGGATATACGGCTAACAAACGATAAATCTACAAGATAAACAATTTATAACACGCGTTTCTATTTCATGTGCACGAATGCACGAGATATTCACACAGCGACACAAACATGTATAACTATCAAATTAAAGACTCTTGTGGTATTTTAATATGAATTCTTTTGTAACGACACTGCCGCTAAGCCGCATAGAATGGGAGCAAGCTTTCACAATTAACGCTAATCGAATTGCGTAAACAGGAACAAGGCAAGGAAGGGAGGGCCGCCTTGGGCACCTTGCTTCTAGATAAGCATAGATAGGCGTCAAAGTTACCTAACCCGGTTTCCAAATCGTCTTCTTCGTGAACCTTCGAGGCCTGAGCATCTGATTCTTCCGAGCTATTCCAAAAATAACCAGCCAACATGGCACGATAGGACACAATGGGTCTCGTTCCCTGAATAAGAAGCACGACCAAGAGACACATCCATTTTTTTTTTTTATGACCAACCATTCGGGAGGATGACGATGCACTTATCATACATGTTTCGCAGAGGTGATGCTTAGCAAGAATTATTGGTAGCAGCGGAGGAAGAAGTCTTCTTAAACTATCAATTATCAATGGAGCTATCTTAGACCCGGCTGTACAGATACGGACAGAGGACATTCGAGGTTTCACTTCAAAAAATGCGACAATTTTGTTCACTGACAAAGCCCTGATTCAAAAGTTAGCTGACAATTATTTCGCGATGAGAATACTGAGGCTGTGCCGTGATTCAAGGTCGTTTGGCTTCTGTTCTTGATTCAATGCCATCCTGTCTGCGAGGATATTTTTTTTCTTTCCACAAAGTTCAATATTCGATGCTCACTGCATAGACCTGGCACATTTAACTAGGAACGTTTGAAACGGCTAAGAAGGAAGGCAAGCAAGGAAAGAATTTTATTTTGCAAAACATCTTCGAATCTGGTCTTATGAGTAAATGTTGGACATTCATTAGCTGGAACTTCAAACAAAATTACACCCTATACATTACGTAGTATAGGAATATGAAGTGAGAAAGATCTGT